AACAGCTTACTGACATCTCCAGCATCAATGTGTATTTTGAGAGCCTTAATCATGTAGTAATGGTATGGTATTAAGGTCAACATGTGTTGTTGTTTTGTTTAGTTATCTCTAAAGAGATTTGCATAGACAAATAGCACATATTATCCATGTGATGCTCATTTCTGCTGCTCTTCATCCCTTTATACAGACCCAGGTTTCTATCTGGTTTCATTTCCTGCCTGAAAGACTTTTGTTAACAAATTTGTTAAAGGAAATCTGGGGTGGGGTGTCAGGCTCAGCTCATGTGTGTGTCTGGAAACACCTTTATTTTGCATGGTGATTTTCCTGTGTGTAAGTTAAAGCAGTTGTTTCATTTCCTTTGGAACTGTGAAGACCTTCCCCTCTCTTCTTGCTTCCATTCCTCAGACAATGACTCTGTTGTTGTCCCTGTGTTTTAGCTCCTTCTGTATACAGCCTGCCCCTTGTTTAGCTGTTTTTAGGTTTTGCATCCATCCTTGGTTTTCAATTCTTTGCTGACAATGTGCCTGGATTTTATTTTCTTCAGGTTTCTTGCACAAGGCATTTATTGAGTTTCTTGGGTTTAGAGTTCTCATTATATTTTGAATGTTTCTTGTCATCTAAGGCCACCTGAAGTTCACTGACAGCTCTTGGGTGCTCATTTCATCTTTCATCTGAAGTTTATTTTGTTTGATTTTTAATGGTCTGTATTGAAGCTCACCATTTTTTCTTGCAACATTTTTTCTTGTGGTCCAGCCTCATGCAGTTTCCAGTCAGTGCAACATTCTTCTCTATATTTGAGCTTTTCAGTAGCTTTGCCTCAGTTGGAATGCCCAGTCATCTAGAGTCTAGTCATTAGATTTGTTTAAATGTTCATCTTGGGATCATTTTGGATTAATTCTGACTGATTTTTCTCCCCATCATGGGCCATATTTTAACATGTCTTTGTATGCCTGGTGATCTTTGGTTTTATTCTAGACATTATGAATATATTGTGAAGAATTAACTTTGATCCATAGCAAATATATTTTTAGTTTGTCAGAGTCTTTCTGTGTGGCTCAAAATCCTGACCTCATTTATGTTCCCACCTCAGCCTCCCGGAATTGGAACCACAGGTGTGCACCATATACCCAATATAAGGCCAGTCTGAAACTTAAACCACCAGATCGTTGGGATGTAACTCAATAGCAAACTGCAAGCTTAGTATTCATGGGGCTCTGGATTGAAACCAGAGTGCCAACAAAACAAAACAAACAACAACGAAATAGTGTGCATGTAAGCATGAGATCACACCTGTTCAACTTCTTCAAATTCAAGTTTAGTGCATTTCTTACATCAGCGAATCGAAATATTAGTTTGTTGTGGGCGTTACCTTACCTTACTGTCCTTTTACCTCCAGTCTTTACACATGCTGTTCCCAGTACCTGAAGTGGCACCTTCTTATCTGTTTAGTTAATTTCCTGCTCTTTATCTGCTAGTTCAAATATCACTTCCTCGGCGTGCTCTCTTGATTCTTAGAACTACTTTTGATCCCTCCTCTTAGGTTCTCAGAGTTCCTTTTTTTCTTACGCAACTCAAATCATGACCTCTATAAAGGAAGGGACATCAGTCACACACACACACACACACACACACACACACACACACACGTGTATGTACATTTAGTCACAGATGTACATGCACGCATATATATGTGTATGTATATTTTAAGCTCTGTCTCTCAGAGTGAGAAAGCCATGAAAACACTATCAAGCCGATTAGAGACCAAGTGTTGGCTTCAAAGGACCCCAGTGAGAAGTGAGGGTACTAACAGGTGTGATGGGAAGTACATGAGCTCTGACACCAGACAAATGTGGTTTTAAGTTGCGGTGTCATCACTTATTAGTTGAGTGACCTGGGAAGCTGTTTGCTTTCTGAGTCTCAAGGTGTCAGTGATATTGTCACCACGGAGACAGTAACAGCTTCTTCCTGGAGTTTTGACAAGTGAACGAGGTGAGCTATGTACCACTCCTAACAAAATGCCAAAAATACAGAGATGCTGCCTGGCCTCTGTTCAGCCTCTTGTACCTCCACTCTTGATGACCTTGGTCACCTTCTCCTGAGTGAATTCTTAACACTAATAAGTACAGATATAACACAGAAAAAAACTGTTTCCTTCTATAGGTTGATGACAAAAATATGGACAAAGCTAGATATAATATAAGGCCCTGGAGAATCAGAATCTGAACAGACTCAAGAGAAAGTCTGATAAAGGGACTGAAATTCAGAGAAGTTAGTGATCCAGGACACTGGAGGAAGCAACGAGGGTCTTGGAAGAAGAATACCCCCAAATATCTTAGGGTAACTGAGGCCATACAATAACAGGCTCATGTTGAGGCCTGAAAGATGACGCTTGTGTAACAACTGACAAGGAAGGAGCAGGCGCTGGGTGTTGTAAGGAGAGGGCCGCTTGTTCATCCTGGCCGTCCGGCTAGCTTGCACCTGAAATAACCACACAGAAAATGTATTAATTTAAACACTGCTTGGCCATTAGCTCTAACTTCTTATTTGCTAACTCTTACATATTAGTTTAACCCATCTCCATTAATCTGTATATCGCCATGTGGCAGTGGCTTACTGGAGATTCTAACCAGCGTCCATCTCAGGCAGAGGATCCATGGCTTCTCCAACTCTGCTCTTCTTCCTCCCAGCATTCAGTTCTGTTTTCTCCGCCTACCTAAGTTCTGCCCTATCAACTAGGCCAGGCAGTTTCTTTATTCATTAACTAATGAAAGCAACACACAAAAAAAAGGACCTCCTACCCCGGCTGGGTTCCAGTCTCTTGTCTCCTCCGTTTCTGAAACCCAAGAGCCCTGGTGTAAAAGTGTTGGGAAGGTGCTGCTGTCTAGGGGTGTTCTTCATCTGGTTTCTGTCTAGAATAGCCTATTTGTTGTTACCATCAACTATATTTAACTCTGTGGAGTAAAGCTCATAGGAGAAGCAGATCAGGGGCATACCAGTACCCACAAAGTTGGGGCAGGTGACTGGTGGCTAGAAATGAAATTGTGAATTCTAGCGTTGGGTGACCCTGATATGAATCAAGTCATTGGCATCTTATGATTGTGTGCTGTTCTTTTGAGCTGATCTCTGGGACAAGTGCCAGAAAAATAAATGAGAACAGGAGTCCAAATTAAACATCGCCTTATCCTTATGTCAGAGACAAAAGCATGAAGATAAAAATCTCAAAGCCAAAGAGATGTAGGACAAAGGGGAAATAGTGGCAGCGGAAACTATAGTTTGGAGTTAAGAAGTGGAACAAATGGGCTGACCATCTGCTGGGAAGGAGAAGGGGCCTCAGAAAACCACTGGGCTGAGACCTGGTGATGTGCCTCCAAGGCTGACGCCCAGCCATGGAGGACTGGGAGGAGTAGCTGCTGTCTGCCTTTCAGTCTCCTCCATTAAATGGGGGTCATGACACCCTTGCCGTTTTCTACCCAGTGCTAGCACCCACCTTGCAGCTTCCATGAGTTTCTAGGAGCCCCAAGGAGGCACAGCCTTTGTATCTTAGCAGCAAAACACATGACAGGAAGAATACACAATTCTTCCCAAGTCAGTTCACAATGATCTAAGTATTTCTACTCATAGATGAGTCTAAAACATTACTTAGTGATTCTGGGCCTCAGTTTACCCAAACTGAATTGGTGGTGAGAAGTAAAATGATACTCTGTTCACAGAGTACTTGATATAATGGCAAGACATTGTTTAATACTTAGTATTGTCAAGGTACACATTTTTACTTTAATTAAACTTTTTATCTGTTTGTTTGTATATGTATCTTAGAGCTCATACAGTGGCATCCATGTGGAGGTCAGAGGACAGCTTTGTGGAGTCAGGACTCTTGGTCTGTCTTTATGTGGGTCTGGGGATTGAACTTGAATTATCCTTTATGTGGGTCTGGGGATTGAACTTGAATTATCCTTTATGTGGGTTTGGGGACTGAACTTGGGTTATCAGTCTTGCATTCAAGCATGTTTACCTGCTGAGTAATCTTGCTAGCCCACGCTACACATTTTAAACATTTCAACACACACACACACACACACACACACACACACACACACACACATCACATGTCAAAGACTAATTTAGACCATCAGTGAAGGAAACAGGAAGATGATGCTGGAGAAACTGGAAGAAGAAACTCTGTGCAGTTAATGGAAGAAAAAACTCTGACTTTTAAAGCTATACTGAGATACTTTGGTTTTCATCAGCTTGAAGTACCTGATTCTGGAAGAAGCATACCCCAAAGTCCAAAAGTCCAAATTCTCCAAATTCTTCCTCATTTGTAGTGACTTTACCTGTTAGCTAACATCCGTATGCTTTCCTCACAGGTTTCCTTGTAAGCTATATATTTTATCAGTGATTGAAAATAAAAATAAATAATAAACTGGGTGCCTGTCAGTAAGTCCTGTGTGATTCAAGGATGCCAAAGTGAAATTAAGATGTGTACAAATCTGTCAGTATTACAAGGAACCAATGAAATGGTGCCCCTGCGGTTATCGTTTTAATTGGATGTTTATTATATTTATATCTGGGGGCTATGGTAGTCTTGCAGATTGTCAGTTTTCAGGTTACCATAGTTTTTCACAGAGTCCAAGTCCTAATTAACAATAAAAAATTAGTTAAATGAAATCAAAGTGATGGGGAATGAAGGGCTTGAAGCAATGTTGCCCATGAGTGCTCAAACAAACGAAAGCACCTGCCTCGAATTTGCCCTCTTTTGGGTGTCAGATGTGAACTTTGCTGTGGGTTTGATCAGTGAGTATCCAGCTGGGCGGGGTGGCTGCCTTGGGAAACTTGACTCTTGGGCAACAATTTTACCCATTAAACCTTTGTCACCAAATAAAACCTGTAAGTATCTTTGTGTTTGAAACTGGGTACGGCGTTGGAAACAAGGAAGAATGGGCCTGGAAAGCAAACACAATGCTTTATTTTCATATTGTGCAGGGGTTTCCTGAGGCGTTAGAAGGGGACTAACACAGCAGCCATCTGTACAGAACCAATGATTATAGCAAACCAACTTATCCCTCGGCCTCGCTTAAAAAAAATCTTTTCAGACGGAGTTCTCATTTTGTTTTACATTCTAACTCTTTCGTTTCCCTTTATTATCTACAGAGTTCCCCTCCCCCCACTGCGCAGCACCAATCCTGGTTCTTTACATGGATTCAAATCTCCTCCCATTTTTATGACCCTTCCCTTTAAGGGGTGGTGAAGGCAGAAGAGACCCGGTTCTGGTTCCGTTCTTCTCTGACTCCTTTAGTTCAAGGTTTCTTCCCACAGGCTGTTTCTTTGCTGTTGTCACCAGTCTCTGTTCCCGGCAGCCTTCCTTTCGTCCCTTAGTTAGAGGGGAAGGGAAATTGAAGAAGGTAGACCACGGGCACTTCTTAAAAAGCATGTGCTTATTCTTCAATCCATGGCGCCTTTGAGTCACAGTTAATATTTTAAGTACAAAATTATTCGTTTTGACAGCTGTAGAAATTATGATACTAACACAGATTTTAAAAAACTTTCCTTAAGATGTGTCATTAATAGACAAGTTTCCGTATATTTACCCCGTCTTTGCCTCCTCCTAGTATACATACTTTTCTACAATTGTATTCATTAAGTTTCGGAGTAAGAAGTGGACAAAAGCTGGTGAGCTAAGCCTGTGGGACCTGAGGAGGGTTGAACTACTTAGCTCTGCACCCCTCTGCCTGTTGTGCCCAGATCTGCAAAGTCCCCCAAACACCAGTAAGGAGACTGAGTCCTGTATGTAAAAGCAAAGAGCCTTAATTTTGTACAAGTTTGCAAACTCTTGTCTCTCTGCATGTCCAGCGTATTGGAATAATCGGAGAGCCTCGAGCTCAGTTAGAGCCAAGTTTTTATAATAGTAAAGGTGGGGGTGAGGGCTTTCTAAGGTTCGGGACCCCTGATTGGCTGACGTTTGTCTAGGGGTGTCCTGGAGATTGTGCGCTGGCAGTTGATCCTGTCTACAACGGTTGGAACTTTCGCGGCATTTCCTTTGGATGGTCTTTTGGGTGGTGCTTGGGTAATCTCAGCTTGTGGTTCTTCCTGCAACCAGATATTGCTTCAGGGTAAACTCCTGAGACTCAGAATGGCTGAATCCTACACTGGCAGGTGATAATGGTTGCAAGTAAAGAACTTCCTTTGGGAGGTCTGTTTCTGTTTAGTTTATCATGGCTGGATCCTACATTTCCCCCCTTCACAAGCACCGATGACAGGACCCAATCATGGGTCCTGCCCATGTTCTTAAGGAGGTATTATTGGGACCTAAGAACTACTTAAGTTAATAAATGCAATAAATGACAATTCTGGGTCTATTTTTCTGATATGTCAATGGACACTATAGGTAATTATCTTTTCCTCCCATGCCAGGGAGTCCGCCTTGTCTCAGCCTTTCAACTTATTCTGGGCAGGGAGCATGGGATGGTGTGTTCCTTACCACAACTACTTCGAGCTGACATTGCAGCATTGTTATCAGGGCCCAAGTAGGTTGAAAGGCCAGCCAAACGTAGGGAGGGATGTCAGGGAATGGAGCATCCATCAGAAGCATCTGGTTCACAGACTCTGTTGAAGAGACAGGGAGCATTCACACCAGCTTTCAGGAAGACCAGGGCTCACAGTCATTCAGAGCAGGTCTGACTCAGCAATGGTGCTTAGATGTGTCGTCCAGCCAAGTGGAAGTCTACCGAGATAAGTTTAAACTAGGAATAGAAGTTAAAATTTATATACTTAAAGAGAAATCTATATTGTAGAAAAAGAGCAGATAACGGGTATCTGTAAACAGAAGGAATAGACTCACACCTTTGAGTCCTAGCAAAAACTACAGATGTTGGTTAGAAGCATGTATGTTTTCCTGCTGTCCAGAGAACCACATATGGTTTGGACAGAGATGCCTTTGGCCTGATGAGAAACACCTTTTAGTTCATATTTAAATGGCAACCAGAATAGATCTAAAATCTTGAGCTTGTGACCCAAACAGTAAGTAGTCATTGCTCTATCAGCTTTTCAGAACTTTACCACGGGGAGGGGGGGGACAATTTCCATATCTTAACCTACATTTACATCTTAAGTTATTTTTTTAGACCCTCAAAGCTTATGAACTTTTATATCCGCAGACCATTTTTTTTGTTTTGTTTTGTTGTTGTTGTTGTTTTTTTTTGAGACCCAGTAGCTTTAGAATGAGCTAACAAGCTGGCTGTAGCTTTGTGGAAGGGTCTGGATACCTACTGCTGCTCAACTGACATTATAGCTGGCCTAGCCGTCAATACTATCAGAGATCCGTGAAGGATAAATAAAGTAGATCTGAGTACAGAACAAATAGTTTCTGAATCTATTAAAAATGACAGGGACCAGAGTCCACATGCAGTTAGTCATACCCAGGACTTTATAGCATTGGAGGCAGAAGTATCCAGAACAACAGTCTTACTGTCTTAGTCAGACCCATACGGTGAATATTTTTCCTGTGGTAGAGGGACATGGAAAAGACTGACCTTATTTTGTCTAGGCAAAAGTGGTGCAATCAATTCTCCAAGGTCCTGCTGTTTGTTCATAGTCTGGGCTGGAATCAGCTTCATCACAATCCAGGTGGAGACATCATGGTGTCCCATAATCTTTGGAGACCTTGGGTTACTGCTAGGCTCTCAGAGTCTCTGTCTAATATAATAAGCTTTTTAATTATTATTTTAAATGCCAAATTCTGCAGACCTCTGAAGTATGAGGGCTGCCCAGGTATATCTGATTAGACAAACTTTATTTCTCATTACTTGTTTTAAGTTTGACTTTGAAAACATATACAGGGAACTAAATAAGGATTATTCCTGTCACTAATTATATCAGTACTTTAAGGATGACTGACTAACTTCTATTTCCTAACAGTCTGTAATAAGTTAGCAGCTTTCACAAGACTAGAACTCCACACTAATGATTTTGAATTAAAGCTAATAAAGAAACTGAATTAGTCATCCAAGAGTAAACACAGAACAAATTTATATCCAGCTGCTAATGCTGTCTTCTGCAAAGGCAAGGAACAGGTCCCAGGGTGAAATGGGAACAGGAGGGAGTCTAAGAGCTGGCATTGCCCTAGGGCAAACTGAGAGTCAGGTCTACCTTCCTGCTGATCTATAGAACCTATCTTGGCAGGTGTATACCAAGTTGACCTGGGAAAGCTGCCCTGGGCCCTACATTTCTCTCCCTTCACAAGTACCAATGACAGGACTCATTCATGGGTCCTGTCTGTCCAGGGGCTCAAGGGGGTGATGCTGGAACCTCATTACCATCAGTCAAACAGTATTGACCAGTTCTCGAACAAAAGCCATCAGTCTGTTGATAAGAAGCAATACCATCAGGGGCTGGTTAGAGCTGGAAGTAAGGTGGAAGTAAGGGAGATGAGCTGAGCAAGTTTTATCCAGCTTCCCTGAGTTCTGTTCTCTGTCATTAACAAGGCCATTGGATCTCTAATTACCCCAGAGTGATTGATACAGAAACAACATTCTTTCCCCCAGAAGATGAGGTCCAAACCTCTTGGTATCAATACAAAAATTTATGACTCAGTTTATCCAAATAGATTAAACCCAACAAAGTTAGCAAAGATAAGGAGGCTAAACATACACTTTAAAGCCTGAATAGACCTTGAACAAGGAAATATATTATTAAACCATTAGTTAATATTTTAATGCTTTGACCTTTTAATATAGTTTCCCATGTTATAGTGATCCTCTCATTACAGGATTTTTCCTGTTGTTATTTTACAATTGTGGTGTGCCTATGTTGTGAATCTCAATCCAAACATCTGACATGCAGGTGTACCCAGATTGCCCTTGTACAACCTCCAAAAGATTGAGATTCATAGGCTTGGACACTGTTCCAAGCCCTCTATCAAACTGCTTAGGTCATTGTAAGCATCATAAGAAATGAATGTTTCCATTTCTGGTTAGCTTTTGGTGCTTATGGCACTGACCCTAATTTTTAGCCCTTTACTTTAAGTTCAGATATTAACAATATAAAACATTTTATGAGCACAGATGTCCCACAGCCTTATAAATTTATTTAGAAGCTTTTTTCCCCTAAAAAATTAAAATCTCTTAAATGTCTTTCTGCAGTATCAAAATTAAAGTACTTCTTTGGTCCCACCCTTGACAGCATATACATAGCCTGCCCCATTTCACTGCAGCTAGTGCTTCTGGTGACTGTCACCTGGCACTGGCATTTCTAAAACTGTTAAGGTCTATTGTTGCAACTGCACATTCCTTGTTCTTATGACGGGACATGAGTCATCATGCACAAATCTATCCCAATCCAAACTATCTTGGAGATTTGTTAGAACTACTCTACGTGGTCACCTTTAATCAAGATGGCAGTGGAATTATGTGACATCCTTTTTTTTAAACTCTACCAAAATGGCAATCCAAAATTTAAAATGGAATCATGCTGTATGGTTTCTTTAAAATTAACCATGCATAGATTTTAAGTTATCAATTCCCAGTGTTACTAATTAACTTTTAACAGTTTTATTTTAATTTTAACAGATTTTTTTGACCGTATCTGACAAAATAAATTTATAAATCTGAAGTTACAGAATGCTCACATAAACAAGACAGATTTAACATTATCTATACCAAAAAGTCATCTGAATTTCTGCTAACCCCAATCCAGTAACCAGAGCTCAGAGATAAATTCTGAAGTCAGGCCCATAAATGTGGTCACAGCAGCGATGGGTGGCAGAGACAGCAAAAATATCCAAACCACTTCTGTCTCAGCTCTGTGCTTGCAAGAAAACTTTTCAACAAAATAAGCACATTCAGTATTTGCAGGTATGAGAAGCCACAGCAAACATAGCTCACAGCCCCTTCTGACCTTCTATAACTTCCATATACCTTCCGTCCGTTTTCCTCTCTTCATTCTTTCAGTCTCCTGCTTTCTCCCTCACTTTCCAGATGACATACCAAAGTCTCTCTTGCTTTTCAGAAGACATAGAAACTCTTATCAAAGTTTTTCTTGGTTTCCCTCAGTAATATATAATATATTGTATGATTACAATATTTTAAGCAAGAACAGAAACAAGCATGCACTATAACAAAAATAACTTTAAATGTACGGCACATAAAATCCTGTACTAGCATGAAACATCTGAGACTAACAGCTTTTCCCACAGCCTATCCAATAGTAATTTGTAATTAACCCCTCTCAATGATGACAGATATTTATAACCCACTGGATCTGACTGAGGAAAGCAGCTCTAGAGGAGGGAAGTCTGGCTATGGTGTCACAAGATGGCCATTCTGGTTTAGCACCTATAGCCAGAGTCCTTGACCTGCAGAGCCAAACCTTGGTCAAGTTTGACCAGAAGTTGAGTCACACAGCCCCCAGGGCAGGCGGAGGGAATTTATCCACCAGCATGGGAGGGGCAGGGTGATATGAAGCATGGGGGAAAAAGATTGTTTACCTCTCCAACTATAGCAATTAACCACAGATTCTCTGTTCAGTGTTTGAAATCCTATTGGGGCATATCAGCCCCCTACAGCTGTGGCTGACAGCTTTACTACATTGTAACAACAAGGCTGTATAGCCCAGCCACTATCCATAAAAGTGTGCTGCCCTGCAGCCTGGCATTTGTATGGCAAACCTGCCCATTGCCCGTGCACTACAGGCCAAGGCTGGCTCTCTTCCATGAAATGTTTAAGGCGGCAGGTAGAGGTTATTTGTCTTATCCCTTTTAGGAAAATACACCGCTATGCTTATGACCCTATCTCTGTAAGTGATCCCAATATCAAAGTCAGAGAAGTCGTGATTTGAGTCACATACCGTCAGCGTCAGTCTAGATCAGGACAACAACAATAACACACACACAGGACAATGAACAGATAGCTCCTCTTGGCGCCAAACCTAACCAAAGACTACACCTCAAGATGTGATCTGGGTGCGACCTGCCCGTTCTATCTATCGAACCGAGACATGTTATCATGGTGAGAAACATAGCGACATGCAGGCAGACATGGTGCTGGAGAAGGAGTTGAGAATTTTACATCTTGATCCACAGGCAACAGAAGGAGCTACTTCCACACTGGGCCTGGCTTCTGTACACATGAGATCTCAAAGCCTGCCTCTATGGTACACTTCGTCGGAATAAGGCCATGCCTACTCTAACCAAGCCAAGCATTTAAGCACATTAGTCTATGGGACCATACCTATTCAAACCACCACAAATTACTTCTTTGTCAGAGATCTAATGAGCTTTTTATTCTCATCGAACAATTGAAATTTTATCCCAAGGCAATGCAGACAATGATGTACCATGAAAAAACCCAGAGACAGATATAGGGGTTAAAGCTGAAGATCAGAGAAGCAGAGTAGTAAATCACTAGCGAGACCTTTCACCTCTACCAATGCTCAGACATTTGTATTTGACAAATTCAAAAAAAATACTCCATTATCTGCCCTATCTTGGTGAGCCCAAAATCTTGTACCTAATTTACTTACTATCATTACTTGCATTATCATCCAAAACTCTTATGATATCGCTCAACCGTATACACTTTATACCTCTTTAATGAGTTTCTTTTCTGTGTCTGGTAAATAAGAACAACTATAATTATAACTATTTAGTCATTAACTCCCTCAGAGACCCAAGAAGGAAATAATATTAGTTGAGTAAGCATAAAGTGCAAGCAAGCAACTTCCAAAAACAGTGAGAAATGACAGAAACAGTTGGGTGCCTGGATGGTCACCCAAGGTTTCTCCGCAACGTTGGGGCATCCATCTTCTGTCTACAGGCCTGGCAGATTGGAAAGAACTTTCTGCGACACAGGATATTCTGAAGGGTGTCCTTGCTTATCTTGACAATGATTGACAGTCACTTTTTAAAATTTTCCTTCTTGTCCAATCAGGACAACATACTGTCAACAATCAAGGCAAGGGCATTATCTTGCCCAGTGGCTTATTTTTGTCACAAAGAAAGTAAACATCATGTAGAGTTTCCTTGATGCCTATAATCTTCTCTGAAGTAGAGTGGTGCTTCCAGGAACAGACATGACTCATTCTCTTTTTTTTTTTTTTAAAAAAGAGGCTATGTCATTAAGATATATGAAATGCCATATTCTGTAGATCTCTGAAGTGTTTGAAGATGACCTGTCTATCTAAAATATATCTTGCTTTGATCTTGAAAACATACCTAATGTGACTACAAGTTCGATTGTAAGAGGTGACTAATTACTAACCTACATACGTTTTTCTTATTATCCTAAAAAGTTGATAATACTAACTTTCAATAACTAGAAATTTGCATTAAATTGTTAAATGAACTGTATAGACACAATACCTTGAAAAAGATTAGAAATATATGTACAAAATATTTTAACAAAATTAATCTCAAATTTGTATGCAATATACAAAAGCCCAATCCAATGTAAAATATTTAAAACTAGTAGTTGCATTTTCAAAGTAGATTAAAAAATCTACTCTTTTATCCTATCATATCTGTTTCCTCCTTTTTTTTTCAAAGCAGAACTCTGAATCTAATTTCCTTTGTTCAATTTTCCTCCTGACTGTAACCAATAACAGCTTATAACCACCCCCTAAATGATCACAAATATATATCCTATCGAATGACCAAAAACCACCCACCACACCTCTTGGGAATGTGGGTGTTGTAT